CCTGGCAGTACTGGCCTTCGCCTCCTGGGTGGCTCTGGCCAGGCCGATGGGAGCTGAGATCTACGGGCTGGCTGTGCTGCTTGGGGCCGGCTCGGCCACCATCCTGGTCACCTCCCTCTCCATGACTGCGGATCTCATCGGCACCAACACGGTACAGCCACTGCTGCTGGCGGGATGAGGGGAGTCACGGCAGGCAYAGAGCTGGGGTGGAGACACAGGGAGGGGGCTCTGCAGGGTGACCCGTGTGCTGTGCGCTGTGAGTGCTGTGCCCCGGGTGCTCACGGCTGTGCTGCAGTGAGGRCTCTGTCCATGAGAGGGCACACAGGGCTCTGTGGCACAGCGTCCAACAGCGTGGTTCCCTCTCGTTCCGCAGCACAACAGCGCGTTTGTCTACGGTGCCATGAGCTTCACGGACAAGATGGCCAATGGCCTGGCTGTGATGGCGATCCAGAACCTGCACCCCTGCCCGTAAGCATCTCTGCAGAGCTGGGACCCTCCCTCACTGGGGGTGCATGAGGAGATATTCCAGGGCTGCAGCAAGAGGCATGAGTGGGAACCAGCTCAGATTTATAGAATCACAGAATGGTTTGGGTGGGGAGGGACCTAGAATCACAGAATGGTTTGGGTGGGGAGGGACCTTGAAGCTCATCTCCTTCCAACCCCTGCCATGGGCAGGAACACTTTCCACAATCCCAGGTTGCTCCAAGCCCCATCCAACCTGGCCTTGGACATTTCTAGGGATCCAGGGGCAGCCACAGCTGCTCTGGGCACCCTGTGCTAGGGCCTTGCCACCCTCACAGGAAGAATTCCTTCCCAATATCCAATCTAACCCTGCCCTCTGCCAGTGGGAAGCCATTCCCCCTTCCTTGTCCCTCCAGGCCCTTGTCTCAACTCCCTCTCCAGCTCTCTTGGACCCCCTTTAGGCACTGGAAGGGGCTCTAAAGTCTCCCCAAAGTGTTCTCTTCTCCAGCTCTGATCTGTCTTACACCCTTCCTCACCTTCTCTYTGGGCCTTGGACAAGAGCCTGAGCCATGCCCTGGGATCTGCTTGTTCGGGCTTTTCTCTCATATCCCAGTGGGAACCAGTCCTGACTGGGAGCACATGGGACCATTGTCCACAGCCCAGAGCTCCAGTCCCAGCCTCCGGTGACATCCCTGCCTATGTCCCCACAGGACTGAGCTGTGCTGCCCTGCCTGTGTCGACTTCTACCGCTGGGTGATGGTGCTGGTCACCGGTGGCATCGCTGTCACCGCTGTCGCCACACTGTGCTGCATCATGGTGTGGCCCATCCAGATCCGCTACTGTGAGTGGGGCCGGGGGCCTGGGGGGCCCTGGTGTGGGGTTGGGGGCACTGAGAGCACTGGGAGCCCCGTGGCCAGTGCCAGCCTGGGCTAAAGCCACAGTGTCTTTGCAGATGGCCCCAGTGGGGCAGCAGTGAGAGCCCTGTCATCACTGGGCTGGCTGTGGCCACGTTCGCAGGGGGACCCTCATGGTAGGACATGGGGCAGAGCCATCGTCCCGCTTCCGCTGCTGCCCCCAGTGAGGGGCTGTGTCTGCTTGCTGTGTCCTCCTGGGGGCCAACACCCTCTGCTCTGCAGGGCCCCTTGGCCCGGCCATGGCTGGCCCTGGRGCTCCAAGGGGTGTCGGGGGCAGCTCTGTGTGCTGGCAGCAAACATGGGGGATGGTGGAGTGACCTGTGCCAGGCCGGGGAGCCAAACGTGCTCAGCGCCTGCTCTGCCTCTCTGTGGGTGGGGGAACAGGATGGACCCTTCGTGCTGCTTGGGGCCCTGCTGGGTCAGGCCCTGGTGTCAGCAGAAGAGTCCAGGAGGGCCAGGCCAGYACATGTGGGTCACCCCACACTGGCATCGCTCCTGACCTGTCCCTTCCTCCTCTTCCTCCAGGTGCTGTCAGCCTACGGCGGCCGAGCAGCGCCGGGATCCTTGAAAACAGCACCGGGAGCGCTGAGGGAGAGAACCAGAGCACCACCATCAACTGAGTGGGGCCATGTCCCCAGCCACAGTGTCCTCAGGGCTGTGTCCTCGGCCACCGCGTCCTTGGCCACCGTGGTGCCACACTCTCGAGTCTGGAGGGTCCCCCGCGCTGGGGGCACTGGGCTCTGGGGAGGGGGGTGACCCCCCGCCCTATTTCCTTGCACTGGACTCCTGTTCCCCACCCTGGACTCCTGTGTCCCAGACCCTGCCGGGCCGATGAAGGCTGTCCCTGGTGCGGTGTCACCGGTGCAGGGTCACCTGTCACCTCTCACCTGCACAATGAACACTAGAAGGGCCCGGGCCGGGCTGAGGCTGGGGCAGCCCCAGCAGGGGTGAGCGCCCGGCCCGAGGTTTTAACCTGTTTTTGTAAGGTCAATACGTACAAACGGCACTTTATAAATGAGGAGAAAAAAAAGAGAGAAAAAAACAAACCGCAGCTCTGATAGTCCTGGGATGGGGGTGCCAGAGCGGGGCTGGAGCAGGTTTGGGGAGCCCTCAGAGACCGAGCGGTGTCCTGAGGGCAGCGGCCATGGCGGCGCCCGCACACAAAATGGCGGCCGCGGAGGGGCGCGAGAGACGAGTGATTGGTCAGTGCGCTGCTGCCCCGCCCACCGGGMCAGGACAGCCAATGGGAGCGGCCCTTGTGCTGAGGGGCGGGGTCTGGGGTGTGCACGTATGTGTGTGTATGTACATGTGTGAGAACATGTGTGTACATACATGTAGATGTGTGTGATAATGTGTGTGTCCGTGTGTGTGTATGTACATATACATGTGTGAGAATGTGTGTGTATATACATGTAGATGTGCGTGATAGTGTGTGTCCGTGTGTGTGTGTATGTACATATACATGTGTGAGAATATGTGTGTGTGTCACATACATGTAGATGTGTGTGAGAATGTGTGTGTCCGTGTGTGTGCGTGTGTGAGAATGTGTGTGTCTGTATGTGCGTGTACATGTGTGTGACGTGTGTGTCCATATGTGTGTACATGTGTGTGACGTGTGTGTGTATCCAAGTGTGTGACATGTGTGTGTCCATATGTGTGTACATGTGTGTGACGTGTGTGTGTATCCAAGTGTGTGACGTGTGTGTCCATATGTGTGTACATGTGTGTGACGTGTGTGTGTATCCAAGTGTGTGANACATGTGTGTGACGTGTGTGTGTATCCAAGTGTGTGACGTGTGTGTCCATATGTGTGTACATGTGTGTGACGTGTGTGTGTATCCAAGTGTGTGAGAATGTGTGTGTGTCCATATGTGTGTGTACATGTGTTAGAACACATGTGCGTGCGTGTCTGTATGTGTGTGTCCGTATGTGTGAGAATGTGTTTGAGTGTGTATGTCTATGTGTGTAATACATGTGTGAGAACATGTGTGTCCGGATGTGTGTGTACGTGTGTGAGAACATGTATATGGGTACATGTGTGTACATGTGTGTGATGTGGGTGTGGGTGAGAATGTGTATGTATGTGTGATGTGTGTGGGGGGAGAGAACATGTGTATGAACATGTGTGCGTATACTTGTGTGTACATGTGTGTGTAAACATGTATGTGTCTACACATGATATACATGAACAGATGTGTGTGCCTGTGTATGCCCACATGTATGTGTATGCGTGTGTGTGTGTGTGCGCCTATGCATGTGTGCAGGGCTGTGCTGGGTGCACATGAGGTGCCGGCGGGAGGGTGGCGGGGGAGGCGCGTTCATAACCCCGGGAAGGGTTTGGGTCAGAAGGGACCTCAAAACCCACCCAGTGCCACCCCTGTCATGGCAGGGACACCTCCCACTGTCCCAGGCTGCTCCCAGCCCCAATGTCCAGCCTGGCCTTGGGCACTGCCAGGGATCCAGGGGCAGCCACAGCTGCTCTGGGCACCCTGTGCCAGGGCCTCCCCACCCTCCCAGGGAACAATTCCTTCCCAATATCCCATCCATCCCTGCCCTCTGGCACTGGCAAGCCATTCCCTGTGTCCTGTCCCTCCAGCCCTTGGCCCCAGTCCCTCTCCAGCTCTCCTGGAGCCCCTTCAGGCCCCAAAAGGGGCTCTGAGCTCTCCCTGGATCCTTCTCCTGTCCAGGTGAGCACCCCCAGCTCTCCCAGCCTGGCTCCATGGCAGAAGTTGTCCGTGGCCCCCAGTCTGTGCCTTGTGCCGGCACACGCGTGTCCGTGTGTCCCTGTGTGTGTCCTGGACTGGCCTCCATGAGGTGTCACGGATCCCCTGCCGCCAGGGCTGTGGAGTCGAGTGTGCCCAGCAGGACACGAGTGTGGGGTGATGGGGGATGCCGGGGGCTGAGGGGTGTGACCAAGGGCAGGGAGTGACACCCCGGGTGCGCCCGGTGTGGGGCAATGGGACGGGACCCGGGGGGATGGAATGGGATCCTGAGGGCAAGCGGAGAGTGCAGGTGCAGCCCCTCGGGCAGTGCCGTGTCCCACCTCGGGCCGGCCCGGGTTTATGGCCGCTTCTCGCCGCGGGAAGGGCCTTATCAGCGATGGTCCAGAGAGCAGGAGCTGAGCCAGGCTGGCTCCGTGGCCTTCGCACCAGCCCTGGGTCTGCGGAGGGACGCGGCTCCGGCTCTGCCCAGCGCCCCCTCCCCACTGTCTTTTGGGGGTCCCTGTCCCACGGCAGAGACCCCCGGGGCAAAGGGTGGACGTGGGGCGAGGGCACGAGAGAGGGCGACAGGCAGCGGGTGAGCGATGCTGTGGGTGCCCCTGGATTGCGGGATGTCCCGGGATTGCGGGGTGCCCTTGGGATTGCGGGGTGCCCCTGGATTGCGGGATGTCCCGGGATTGCGGGGTGCCCTTGGGTTTGCGGTGTGTCCCGGGCTGGCGCTGCCACGGCCGCTCCCTGCGAACCTGCCGCGGACGCTCGGCCCCGCCCGCTGCCCTTCYTCGGGAGGAGGAGGAGGAGAAGGAGGAGGAGGAGGCAGCGGAGCAGGAACGGCGCTGGACGGAGCGGGAGCGGACAGCTCCGACGGGACGGGCGGGGGGCTGTGTTCCCCAGCAGGTACCTGCCCGGGACGGGGCTCTGGGGCCGCGCGTGGGTCCGGGATGTCCCMTCTGGAGCCAGCCCGGCCACGCACTCCCGCAGCCAGCACCGGCCGTGACCCGAGCCGGCACCCCGCGGTCCAGGGATCACTTTCCCCGTCACCCYTCGGTCCAGGGGTCATCACTTCTCCCGGCCCCCACTGCCCACGGGGGTCGCAGCCAGCACASGCCACCGTGGGACCGGCAAAGGGCTCATGCGACCGGGTGGGCTCTGCAGTGCCTGTCCMGGCATGGCCTGAGCCCCGTTCCCATGTCCTCCCCGGTGGAGGGACAGGTTGGTGACACTGGCGGCTGCTGTGCTGCAGGGATGGACCGTCCCCACAATCTGCCCCCTTTCCCCCAGATGCCGGACTCGTCCCTCATGTCGGGCAAGCTGAAGCGCAGTAGGCGGGGGGTGCTGGGGGAGAAGCAGTGGCGGAGCCTGGAGGAGCGGGGAAGCGCCCAGCCGGGGCAGCCCAAGCTCAGCAGGTGGGTGCTGCACCTCACGGGGACGCATCCTGCATCCCAGCCCCACACCCCACCTGTGCCCCCGGGGTCACCCYCTCCGATGCTTCCTTCCAGATCCAGGACCTATGAGCCCTCCTGCAAGGAGGCAGAGCAGGCGGCCGTGGGCAGCCAGGGACCCCCATCCCCCTCGGTGAGTCTCGGGGTGCCGGGGCTGAGGAGCGGGACCCCAGTGCYACCCCCAGCGCCGCGGTGCCGGCTGGATGCTCTCTGGGGGAGGAGAGGGCTGCTCCCGGTTCCGTGGCAGAGCTGGTGATGGAGCCGGGGGCTGCAGGATGCCCGCGGTGGCAGGGCTGGCCCCGAGCACACCCCCTCGGCCTCCCGCAGCAGAGCAAGCAGGACAGCAGCTACCGCCGGGCCTTCGGGGAGCTCGCCGAGCAGGACGCGCTGCTGGGCTGCTTCTCCTGCGCCTGGCAGAGAGAGATGCCCTACCACGGCCGCCTCTACGTATCCTCCCGCCACATCTGCTTCCACTCCAACCTCCTGCTCAAGGACATCAAGGTGGGTTGGGGCAGGCATGGGGCTGGMAGCGCTGGCAGGGGCACAGGTGGCMACYGGGACCAYGGTGACACTGCCTGTCTCCTCCTGGCACAGGCTGTGGTTCCCGTCGCCTCCATCTCAGCTCTCAAAAAGACCAACACGGCGCTGCTGGTGCCCAACGCAGTCAGCATCCGCACAGCCAAGGGYGAGAAGGTGAGAGCAGGGTCAGGGMTGGGGGGGCRGCTTCACCTGGGGTTGTCTGGGATGTCATTGTCCCCATGGGCTCTGTGCCATGCTGAGGGGGCAGCTCTGACACAAACCTCCTACCCACTCTCTGGCAGTTCCTCTTCGTGTCGCTGCGTCAGCGAGAGGCCACCTACCAGCTCCTGAGGTCGGTGTGCAAACACCTGCAGGTACGCGGGGCTGSATGGGGAGGGGAGCTCCATCCAGCCATTGCAGGGTGCCTCCCTTCATCTCTCCTTGTCCAGGACAGCGGCCAGAGCCCTCGAGACTCTGTSAGCAATGAGAAAGCCTTAAAGAAGTCTCTGGTAAGGCCAGGGAACGGTGGGGAGGAGGATGCAGCAGAGGGAGGGAGTGGTCCCAGCCCTCTGGATGGGGTGGGCGGGGTGCAGAGACCSCTGGGAAGACTTGGGGGTAACATGAAAAGCCCCAGCCCAGGGCAATGCACACCCCAGGGGTCCCTTCTTGTTGGTGACACAGGTCCCATCAAGCACTGCCCGTGTCCCCATGGCAGTGGGGCAGGTGCTTTGGGAACACACACCATGACTAGGGCTTGTCCTTTTGCAGACCTTGAGCCAGTCAGACCTGGAGCAGAGCACTCTGGAGCCCAACAGCCTCCAGGAATCCCTGGGTGAGTGGCCACCCTGGTGCACCCCTCGCACCCCTMCAGCCCTGCTCGTGTCCCTGCCCATGTTCCTGCCCTGCTGGCAGCTCTGGACTCTGCTCCCCCTCCCCAGACACAGGCCGGGAGGGACCCCGTGGCCCTCGCCCCCCTGGCCAGCACTCCCACAGCACCAGCGAGTGCAGGATTGGCTCTTTGTGGCCYCCTGTGCCCCCAGGATGCCCAGACCTTTCCCCGGGGTACTCACTGACTATCTCCTGGTCATCTGCAGATGAGCCAAGCCCGAAATCAAGGGAAGCRGAGGAGAAGGTGGCCCTGCTGGCTTCCAGCAGCAGTGAGCAGCTGCCCTCGACAGGAACACGCAGCCTCTGGGGTGGGTCAGGGGCTCGGGATGGCAGGGATGGTGTTGGGKGTTKACACCCTGGCAGAGCYGAGCACAGAATCTCAGTGACACTGRCATTGCCTTGTCTTGGCAGGGGGATCCCACACTGTGCTCTGGGCCTGGATCACTTCATTTTGGTCCCAGATAAACCCCCAGCTGAGCCCTCTCAACATCATCATCATCATCTACCTGCTRCTGTGAGTCCCCAGGACCTACTCACACCCCTGGTCCCCATTCCTGCTGAGCCCTGACAGCCTCTCCAGGGTGGCACAGGCAGTCYGGGGTCCCCACACTCCCCCTCCGACACCCATCCCCAGGGCAAGCACACAAGAGCCTGTCTGTGGCACCGCTCCTGCCCCCTGTCCCCACCCTGTGCCCCCTGGCTGACACTGGTCTGTCCCCAGCATGGTGGCCTTGCTGCTGTCCTCGGGGTACATCGGGCTGCGCATAGTGGAGCTGGAGCAGCAGCTGGCGTTCGCAGGGGCCTGGCCAGACCTCAACGTGTCACAGCAGTGAGTGGTGGCACACRGGGGAGGGGGGGCCTCTGTCCCCAGCAGAGCCCCCTCCTCACTCTGCCTCCCCCCAGGGACAAGAGGACGTGAGGCTGGTGAGGACACGGCTGTCACCAGAACCCCATCTGGGGCCAGGGGGCTCAGGGGCTGCCATCAGCCCTTTCCTGGCTGCTCAGGGGGCTCCGTTGCCAAGTGCCTTCCAGCCCCCACAATGCCTGGGGAAGCCCACGCAGGCTGTGAGGCTCCACCCCACTCCCCTCGTGCCTGCCCACCCTGAGCAGCAGCAGCAGAGACCCAGGGAGCTGCCAGGGGGCCAAAGAGCAGGGGCTGGGGGCAGCACTAACCCCCAGCCAGCCCTCCTGCCAAGGGGGGGCAGGCAGAGGGGGCCAAACCCCAGGCAAAGCGGGGGTACAGAGAACAGACTATTTTATTAATAAAGAATTATAAAATATTTATTATATTGATASTTATTATTTGCTGGGCCGGATGCCACAGGATGAGCATGAACCCTCATTCTGCACCCCCTGCTCCCCAGAGCAGACAGGACACTGCAGGATCAGGATCTCTGACTCTTTGACTGGTGTGGGGAGGCAGCTCCGGGTGTTGATGTCTCAGGGGTCCAAGGAGCCACAGAAGACCCTTGAGCAGTCCCCTGGGGCTGTGGCTGCTGGTGACAATGAGAGACAGAGGGGAAGGGGGCAGTGGGGGTGCAGCAGGGAGCCCCAGGGCCCTGCAGCTGGCCAGGCCCTGGCTCTTACCCTGCTCCTTCCCCAGGATGGGGCTCACCTGCCAGAGGAAGGGGCTCCAGCAGGTGCAGGGTCCCAGGTACATGGTGGGGACAATGGGGACCCACAGGTTCCAAGCATAAACTGGGGGCAGGAGCAGAGGTGGGGGCACAGCAGGACCTGCACCCCATAGGTGGGATTAACCCAGCCCAAAGCCCTGGAGGTTAATCCCATTCTGCACCCTGGGGCTTCCACCAAGCACCAAGGTGGGGAAACTGAGGCACTGACAGCTCCTTATCCCACTCTTTTCTCCATGTCGTTTCCTGGGTCATCCCTCTCCTAAACCCACAGCTCACCTCAATGCCACGGGAGATGCCAAGGTCAGGGATCCTCCCCCTCCTCATCCTGCTGCTCAGCCCCATGGACCAGCTCAGCCCCACCTCACCGAGCCCGAGCAGGTTTCCAGCAGCAGGCCCGGTCCCCACAGTATAGGACACTGGTCACGGYGGGGAGGGAGCCCTCCCGAGGGCTGGAGCAAGGCACAGGTGTGGGGCACAGGGCTGCACCCCACTGGTGAGGTGTCCCCTGCCCACAGCGCTCCAGTGCCCAAGGAGGGGGTGCCCCCCAATGTGAGGGTCCCAGCGGCACGGAGGCAGCAGGACCGAGGGGCTCTGCACCCCTAAGCTCGCTGCAGCCATCCCCTGGCAACTGCCCCACACCAAGGAGGGGCTGTGCCAGGCCAGRGTCCCCTTTTCCTTCTTCCTGCCATGCTGAGGGACACAGGGCAGGGCAGGGAGCGGGGGCTGTGCCTCTCCCCTTTCCCAGTAGCAGGAAAGCAAACAGCAGCGGGAAACTGGGAGCAATAAACTTCAGGTGAGAGCGGCGCCAAGGCAATTGGTACTGGCAGAGCTGGGGTGGGGACCCCGGGGACCTGCTGCACCCACCCTTCGCTGCAGAGAAGTGAATGGAGCCACAGAACCCAATCCCAGTAAATTCACAACCTGTTTAATGCCAGTTCAATTGCTTTACACGGAAAAGTCACAGCGCGCTCCATGTTTGTGTTCCACCACATGACACCTGGAATACAATGATGCCACGAGGCCACAGACTCTGTCACCCAGCTCTGGCAGGACCCTGTGCCCGAATCAAGTGCTCACAGGTCATAGACTGACACATCACCTCAGTTCTGCCCTTTTCCCTATTGAACCCACAGCTGGTGACAGTGGCAGTGTCACCCTGAGACACTKAGACACACCCACCTCCACACGGATCTCCTGCCTGGCACCTGGGAGTGGGGCAAAGAAGGTGGCTGTGCCAGGCTCYGAGAGCCAGGGCAGGGTGAGCAGCCTGTTCTTGCCATGCTCTGTCCAACATCATGGCCACAGAACAGCCCTGGCCTGCAAATCACTGACCYTGGCCTGAGAATCACCAGCCTCCCTTGCCAAGTGCAGTGAGAGAAGCCAACACGAGTCAACCTGCTCCCAAGGCAGAGAAAAGCAAGATGTAGACACCAGATGTAGTTTCAGAAAGTCCTTGGCAAGAGGGGACAATGGTGGGGGACAGAGCAATGAGGAGCTGTCCCTGCTCTGAAGCTGGGAGCACTGGGCAGCAGCTGCAGTGCCCACCTGGCACTGCCCACCCCATAGCACTGCTTCCCAGCCCAGCAGCTCCTGAGACTCCTTGAGGAAGCTCCCACATCCCAGGGTGAGGGGCAAAACCACCTCTGCAGAACCCCAGGGCACTGGGGAGTCCAATCATCACCACTCACCCTGCACTACAGCTGGGTACCTGCTCCCTCCTGCTCCAGAATGGGCTGAGACCCCCCATGTGCCCCCAACCCAAGCACCTACACCTCCCCCCAGGAGAAAGCAGCGTGTCCAGGCGGTCTGCACAGTGCTATTTAACAGAAGGCAATCCACAAGAAAATCCGCAACACAGCCACCAGGCACCCCAGCCTCTCTGAATAGCCCTTTCCCCAGGTGATGACACACACAACAGACCACCTCTGGCTGCAGGTGGCCTTCTGCTTCAAACCCATTCCCTAACTTAATGATCCGAGTCAATTCAACACCTCCTGGGTGCTTTGGGGTGCTCCCAACCCATGGTGATGTGGAACGGTGCCCACAAGTGCAACAAACACAAACAGGCTGGGGGGTGACTTCAAACCATGCCTCACGTCCCATGGCCAGAGCTACACTAAAGCAGTTGTGTTCAAGCTTTGTTTCAGAAATTCCACGGAAATGTCATTCTGGTGGCAAGTGAGATTGTGAGATGACGAAAGTGGCTTGCGGGCCTGGGAGACTCAGAGCTGCCAGGGGGTCCCAGCACACCGGCTCCTCASCAGTGACTCCCAGGACGTGTGACAAGGTACAGCACCAACAACCTGAGGCAGGCACTGGTCTAATGGCACGTGTGGTCAAGGCTGTGCTGACCAGGCTGTACTGGCCTTTCTACACCTCAGCTCACCCTAAGGATACTGGTGGTACTGGGGACAGGCAATCATATTCCTACCACGTGGTTTTTTAAGGAAAGAAAGAAGAGGAAACAAAACAAGAAAGAAAAAAAGAAAGCATTACCTATGCAATCTACAGAGAGGACAGGGTCTCTATACACAGCCAGGGAACTTCACATGGAAACAAGAAGACACGCTGGGAGAGGGCAGRAGGCAGGCAGGGCCCGGGAAGGGCAGGCACAGGCACAGGTGAGATGGAACAGGCTGTGCAGCCTCACAGCTTCTCTTAAATTAAAAGCACCACACACACAGAGCATTTGTGTTACACCCCACAAGCTCCAACACCAGCCGGAACTCTTGTCCCACACAACCTAAAAACCCCAAACCACACACCAAAACCCAACAGCAGGGCCCTGGCTGGGACTTGGAGATAACGAAAAAGCAACACCGCAGCCTTGCTTCAGGAGAACCCCTCTTCCAGCCAGAAGAGGCCCTGCTCACCCCAAAGATCAGATCTTCAGGATTTGTTTTTGTTCTTAAACACATCCCAATGGCTTTTGGCCTCAGGGAGACTCCAGAGCAAGGCATCCACCTGGTGGCACTGGAGGAAGCTCCACATGAACTGGTGATTGGGTGGGTTTCTTTTTTTATAAAGTCCTTGCTTCTCTTCTGTGGTAACTCCCAGGATCAGCCCAGAACATGAAACAGCAACTGCAGAACTTCCTGAATCTGCCCTCTTTGAGGTGAAGCTTTTTCAAGTCTCCTCCAAAGTCTAAAGCCCCAAAGTGTACTTGTTTGGAGGCAGCTGTCAAGCATGCCCAAAAAAATCAAGCTGTTTATGGGAATGATCATGACAAGTACTACAGTACCTGTCTGGGGAGAAAAAATAAAGGAAAAGAAAAAAGGAAAATAGGCAGTTCTCCAGTTTCTTCCTGGAATGGGGATGCCAGGCTATGAACAAAGCCCTTAGATGCCCAGCCTGGAGTTGTGCCCCTCGCACCAGCTGTACCGGACCAGTCTGGCTGGCTCCTGCCTCCAGAGATATCACTCAAGGACACAGAGCAGCACATCAAACCCCTTCCCACAGCAGCAAGGACATGCTCTTCTCTTGCAGGAGGGACACCATGGCAGTGGGGATAGCCTCGGTCCAGTCTCAATGGTCCATGTCACACGAGTCCTCCCCAGTACCTTCYGGATGGCTGGAGGATGCTGGGTTAACATTTCTCTTGTACCCGTTTCCTTTTATGAAGAATGAATCCAATAACCTTTGGCAGTTCCCTCCCCTCCCCACCCCATCCCAAATACTGCCCAGCATGGGTCACAAGCACATATTTAATGAGCTGGGTCTTCTCCAGTCCCACGGCTCTCCCTCCCCTTGGCTGGGCTCTGGGGGTCCATGCACGCCGAGGGAGTGGTCTGATCCTGGAATGTCAGGCTGTAGGTTCCCAGGGCATAGGGAGGGGGTTTATCGTATCCTGGTGAAGAGGTTGAGTACAGATACAGACTCCTGACAAGGAAAGACAAAGCAGAAATAGCTGTTACTCCACGTGCTTCTGGGCTGRTTTGTTTTTAATCTGGTATCTCTAACTCACGGCATGATTCCAGCTCACAAATCAAAGTCCAAACCCATAAATATTCCCATGGGTTTCTTTCAAATGGTAACAAAGTGCACAGCAGGCCAGAGTGTCATTCCCAGAGCTCTGCAGGCAGCTGTACCCCAGAGGAGCAAGAATTAGGGGACTCCCAGGAGGAGCAATGCCAGCTTCCCCCAGTCCCCTCCTCCAAATCGCTCTGCCAGGCACCCAGGAAAGCTCACAGAGCATCAGGTACAACCTGTTTTTGGTGATGGTGAGTTGTCACTAGCAGAATCCATGATCCCATTTTCATCCAAAACCCCATGTTAAGCAGTTTTGTAAAGAGRCAGGGGATAATCATTGAACCACAGAACAGTCTGGGCTTCAAAGAACTTTTAAGTTCATCTCCTTCCACCCCCTACCATGGGCAGGAACAACTTCCACTATCCCAGGGTGCTCCAAGGCCCTCCAGCCTGGCCTTGGGCACTGCCAGGGATCCAGGGGCAGCCACAGCTGCTCTGGGCACCCTGTGCCAGGGCCTCCCCACCCTCCCAGGAACAATTCCTTCCCAATATCCCATCCATCCCTGCCCTCTGGCACTGGGAAGCCATTCCCTGTGTCCTGTCCCTCCAGGCCCTGGTCCAAAGTCCCTCTCCAGCTCTCTTGGGGACCCTTCAGGTACTAGAGGGGGTTTTAAGGTCTCCCTGGAGCCTTCTCTTCTCCAGGCTGGACACCCCCAGCTCTCCCAGCCTACTGTCACCCAAGGGCTCAGCTCGGTGAGGTCCCTGAAAAGCTGCTTTGCTCAGCAGCCCTGGACCAGGCTGGAGTGGGATATTGTCACACATGCCTTGGGTGACAGGGTGACCCTTTACTTAAATCTCAGCAAAGTTGAACCCTTCACTGCCCCAGCCCTTGATCTGCAGGAAGGGATCAGAGCAGAGCACACATGGCCTGAGTTGCCCCAGGCAACTGCCCCCGTGACTGTGACTGGCCTTACCTTCGTSGACCGAGTTTTACTGAAGACATTCCAGAAGCGCAAGGTTTCATCTCCAGCTCCTGTGACAATGGCCTCCCCGTCAGGGGACATCGCCTAAGGACAAGACAACAACCTTTGGCACCTGCCACATTTTTGAGGCTGAAAACAAGTCTATTGGAATGCAGGAGAGAATTAACTCTCCTTYGTACTCAGTGGTGAAAAGCCAACTACCTCTGCTTCCATGCTCCTCATGCAGCCCCAGGTGCAATTTGGGCACTTACACCTTATGGTGCAGCTATGGAACAGAAGGGAGGAGCATTGTGGAAAGGACATTTGTGTTAACAAATCCAAGCCATGAGTTACTGAGGCTGTTCCTCACGGGATTATCAACATGCCTTAAGGCAGGAAGATGATACGACTGGATTTTCTGGTTGTGTTGGTKGCTTACATTGGGATCTAACTCCCAAAACAGCATCAGTCAGCTCTCCTGTCAACTGCTGACAGCTCCATGTAACAGTAACAGCAGATCCCAGATCAATCAGGATTACCCACAACAAATGTTTAATAACAAATTAGGAGGGCTGGAAGCAGTGAATTTTTCCCTAGGCAGCAGTCAGCAGTGAAGAGGTGTAAAAGTCTTCACGGAGCATGGAGGGAAGCTTCTATTTCACAGAATTACAGAATGTTATAGGTTGGAAGGGACCTTAAAGCTCATCTTGTTCCACTCTCTTCCACTGTCTCAGGTTGCTCCAAGCCATGTCCAGCTTGGCCTGGGACACTTYCAGGGATCCAGGGGCAGCCACAGCTTCTCTGGGCACCCTGTGCCAGGGCCTTAACACCCTCAATAATTCTTCCCAATATCCCATCTAACCTTGCCCTGTGGGAATTTGAAGYCATTCTCCCTTGTCCTGTCAGTCTAGATCCTTGTTCAAAGTCCCTCTCTAGATCTCCTGGAGCCTCTTTGGGCACTGGAAGGTCTCCCTGGAGACTTCTCTTCTCCAGGCTCATTAGAAACCTCAAATGTTTCCTCAGGAAAATTTGGCAGGCTCTGCTATCATTAACAAAGCCTCACATTTCCATAGCAGCAAATCAAAGTGTCCCTTGCAGGCACAGAAACCAGACAGTTTTCCGCTGCTCGTGGGGAGTGTCCACACACCCACCCAGACTCCAGGCAGCTCATGGTGCCACTGGCACTGCTGCTTTGGGTCCCATCTGAGCACACCTGCAGCCAGGTCAGCAGCTACAGAGCTGTGGCCATCACTCACCAGATACAGGACTCGGTAGGAGTGCCCCGTGAGCTTTGCTACTTGAGTTAAAGAGGGGTATTTCCAGACGAGGATCTGGTTCTGGGAGTATCCATGGGTGCTCACCTGAAAGGGGAGAGGGGAACATGCATCACAAAATCATGGAATTTTTCTGGCAGGAAAAGACCTCCAAGATCAAGTCCAACAATCAGCCTACCACCACTGACACCACTAGCCCATGTCCCCAAGTGCCACATCCACATGTTTTCTGAACACTTTCAGGGATGGTGACCACTACCCTGGGCAGCCTATTCCAATGCTTGACAACCATGAAGGAATTTTCCCCAATATCCAACCCCGACCTCCCCTGGCACAGGTTGAGGCCATTTCCTCTTCTTCTGTCTCTTGGTCTCTGGGAGTAAAGACTGATCCCCACCTGGCTACCTGCTCCTGTCAGGGAGTTGTGGAGAACCAGAAGGTTCCCTCGAGTCTCCTTTTCTTCAGGACGAACCCCACCAGCTCCCAGTTGCTCCTGGTGCTCCAGACCTTTTCCCAGCTCTGTTCCCTTCTCTGGGCAGCTCTTTCTTGTTGTGAGAGTCCCAATACTGACCCCAGCACCTGAGGGCACCCAGCAGTGCCCAGCACAGGTGAATGGTCACTGCCCTGGTCCTGCTGGCCACACCACAGCCAGGATGCCTTGGTTTCCATGCCCTGTCTGGACACACCTGGCTCACATTCAGCCATGCTTCCCAACATGGGGCAGCAGCAGCTGCACAGGGAAGGAAGGACTCACCAGCTCGTTGGCGTGTTTGGACCAGGCCAGGTTGCACACCTGGGAGCCGGTGTCGATGCACTGCAGGGGCTGCCCCGTGAGCGTGTTCCAGAAGCGGATGCAGCGGTCGGCTGTGCCCCCACCCGAGGCCAGAAGCCCGTGCTGGTGTGGGGACCAGGCAATGGCTTTGACTGCTGCCAGGTGCTCTGTGTATTGTTGGACAGGACTCAGGCTGGAGTGATTCCAGACAAGGAGCTGGCAGAGAGGAGAGACGTGATCAAACCTGTGCCTCACACTCAGTCATGTGTCCACTACCCCCATGATGGGACTGATGAGGGCATTGGGCAACAAGCTGATTTCACACAGCTCTGCCCAGGCATGCACAGCTCCAYTCTGCACTTCACAGAATCRTGGAACRGTTTGGGTTGGTTAAAGCTCATGCAGTTCCCAGGTTGCTCCAAGCCCCATCCAACTGGGCCTTGAACACTTCCAGGAACAAGGCAGCCACAACCAGTCTGGGCAACCTGATGCCAGTCTCATGCTGGCACCACACTCAGCTGAGGAGCTGTCCTACCCCCTAGGTCACAAAGCAGGAACAGCCCCTAAGGCAARGGAATGAATCTAAAGAAATGTAATCACACCCTTCTGTTGCCTTTCTGGCTGCATCATTCCAGAACACATCTAGAGATCTGTTCAGTTCATTAGGAGTTATTCTGAGCAGGAGGAACTTGGTCCAACCATGCTGTCACACAGACACTGGGCACATTCCCTACCTAGCAACCCACTCCAAAGGGCTTGGAACACTGCTTTTTTYGTGACAGATGCTTCTCCCATATGGTGTTCAGTGAGCTGCAAGCCTGCATTACAGGTATGAGAACTCACAGAGCTCTACCTCAGGTTCCTGCTGCACACAAACATTACTGCAACAAACATGACCGTACACTACCCAAACAAAGCCAGGAAGGGCAGCTTAGCAGTGGTTTTGTTGAAAACTCAACCCCACGAGCCAAGCTAGAGATTTAATTAACCAAATACTGAAGCAAAATTAAATTTGCTTTTTTCATTTTATTAGGAAGAGAAGACTGAGTAGAAGCTGATTTATGTTTGGTCACAGTCCAACAACTGAAACAAAAGTCATTTTCAGAGAGGGCAAAAATCCTTAAAGAGTCACTGAACCATCAAGGTTGGAAAAGACCTTTAAAGCCAAGTCCAACCTTTGATGTAATCCCACTGTGCCCACTAAACCATACTGGAAAGTGCCCTATCCACTTGTATTTGAACACTTCCAGGAATGGCAACTCCCCCACTGCCCTGGCCAATCTGTTCCAATGTTTAACCACTCTTTCAGTGAAGATATTTTCCCTTAATCACAGATTCATACAATGGGTTAGGCTGGAAGGAAACTTAAAACCCATATAGTTCCATCCCCTGCAAAGGGAAGGGATTGGCAGGCACTAAACCAGGTTGCTCTACATCCTGTCCAGCCTGGCCTTGAACACCTCCAGCAATGTAATAACATCCAACCTGAACTTCCCCTGGTGCACCCTGAGATCACCWCCCCTTGCCCGAAAAGAAAGGGGGTCTGGCATTTCCTGTGAGCCCTGGGAAGGACTGTACCTTATTATCGTTCCCTCCAGAGGCCAAGAGCTGGTGGTCTGTGGACCATTTGAGCCCACAGACCTCCTGCCTGTGTCCCTGGAGCCGCCGCTCYGACTGCAGGGGTGGGGTGCGGATGTCCCGCTGCAGGATCATCCTGTCCCGGCTCCCAGACGAGAGCTGGTCTGCATTCCATGCCAAGGCACCTGGAACGGGGGCAGAGCTTCAGAGTGTGGTGGGAATCATGAAATCACAGAATAATCGAGGCTGAAAAAACCTCTATGGTCACCATGTCCAACCATCAACCCAGCACCATCACCACGTTCACCACCAACCCACATCCCAAGTGCCACATCAATGTCTTTTAAACCCTTTTCAGGCATGGTGACTCCACCACTGCCTTGGGCAGCCTGTTCCAACGCTTTACAACCCTGTTTGTGAAGAATTTTCCCCTAATATCCAATCTAAACCCACCTTGGGAAAAGTGAGGGCATGTTTTCCCATCCTGCCCCTTGTCCCCTGAGAGAAGAGTGAAAACTCCCTCCTGTCAGGGAGTTGTAGACAGCCAGAAGGTCCCACCTGAGCCTCCTTTTCTCCAGGACACACCCCACCAGCTCCCCCAGTTGCTCCTGGTGTTTCAGCCCCTTCCCTAGCTCTGTTCCCTTCTCTGGACACACTCCAGCTCCTCGATGCATTTCTTGTTGTGARAGACCTAAAACTGACTCCAGGATTTGAGGTGGGACCTCAGCAGTGCCCAGCACAGGGGCATGGTCATGGCCCTGGTCCTGCTGGCCATGCTGTCAAGTCCAACCCTTCCAGTCCTGCAGCAGTTGGTAAACAGAAGCAGCCAYCACAACTGCCAAAGTTTAAAAAAAACCCTAACAAAGCTCAAACRACTTCTTACAGATCTCCATTCTCTGAAGCGCTAGCTCAGGGCACAAAGAGAGGCTACCCTGCATGGAATGACTGCAGGTATCACCAACCCAATATCACAGTGCAGTAAGCACAGGAATATATTTTGCAAGGTGCATGGATTTCCCAGATCTTACCCCAGAGTTTAGATTCATGTCTGTGTGCAGAAAAAAACAGCCCCCCAAAAAAGGGAACTGGAAATCTCAGTGTGAAGCTGCCAGCAGGGCTGAAATTGGAAKCCAGCAGCAGTGAAGAGATGTTGTAAGCAAACCCAAAAAGCCTCAAGCATGKAGGAAACACCTGCTGCAACACCCAACCACCATCATACCCAGATCAGAACACCACAGTTATGACATGATAATATTTTGAACCTGCTCAAGATACAGCAGTGGATAAGTATGAATCCTGGTACTATGAGCTCTCCATTTCCAGCAGAACCCTGGCTAACAAAGACCAATCAGGAAGGATAACCCCTGAGAACCCTTGCCTCCTTCTTCCTTACCAACTCTGGCCGTGTGTCCCTCCAGCATGGAGAGCTTCTTTCCTGCAGCTGCATCCCAGATCTGTACAAAGCCCTTGTGAGTACCAACGGCCACCAAGTTCCCCTGGACAAACAGAGAGCCAGGATCAGTAMAGCCAGGAAGTACAGCCAGAAAAYGGGAAGCTGAGGAAAAGACTTGACATAAATCCCACTAGATGGARAGCATCCAGAGTTTTTCCATCTTACATGTTTTTCCCTACTGAGAGGCCCAAGCAGCCTGTCTGGAATATATTTACTGTAACATTTTATTGTCAAGAGCTGAAGAAACAAACTGGCTCTTTCTCCCGCCCACTCCTCTTAGCAACGCCTCAAGAACCTCTCAAGATACAAGAGGCTGCTCTCTATTCCCTCTCTTTCAGCAGAGAAAAACCAACCCAAGGATTTAACCACAGCTATGATGACAGTGACTAAGTGTCTCAGCTGTCCTTGCTGACAGTGTCATACTGACCCGCTCTGACCAGCCCACGGATGTCACAGAATCGCCTTCCACAGAGAGGTCACACAGCCGGGTTACCTTCAGAGAGAACAGAATGGGTTAAGAAACATGTTTTTGTCACACAGCATTACTAGCTGTCTCACAAACCAGTGTTTTGTTTAGGATAAAACCTAATGAGTGCTGAAGCCCGCACACAYTACATTCCAGAGCTCTGAATGTTGGAAAAACCCTACAGCAATGGGCAATTYAATCTTCAGACCCTCATGACCATTTACCTGACTTGTACAAGCACTCCACAGGTAAACACAAGTCCCAAGGCCAACACTGAGGACATTAAGAGAGGACCAGTCCACCAGGTTCAGGTAGAAGTCGTCCTGCAGCTCTGGGGCATCCAGMACTTTGAAAGGGATCTTGGAGATTTTCCGAGTTGGTTTTCGAGGTGATCTTAGCAGCTTCTGACTGTTTACAAAAACAGATACAAAAAACCTACAGGAATCTGCACATCACAGCAGATGGGAGGCACAGGTGTAGCCACTCTTTACAGAGCACTCTGCAGTTTCTATAGAAATGCAGAGACAAAGAGGCTACACAGATCTTTTCAGCAGCAAGACTGAAAAGAATTAGKTTCTGCTTGTACAAAGAAGCTAGGGAGCAAAAAGATAAACTGATTGTTGAGAATTGGCCAAGACATGTCAATCACRTAGGCAGACTTGACATCTGAAGAAATTCTTAGAACTTAACTGTTTTATTTATTATCTCTCCCSATTTCCAAACTCAATTCACATTGCACTTTTAGAGCCTTAGACAGAAGTTCTAGAGAACCTCACCAYACCCTCKSTSCCARCCCTTCCCTTCTCACAGTCTSTGGAGGATCAGTGTTACCTTTTGTTGCTGACAGGAGACAGGGAATAGGGTGAGACCTCGTTGCCATCATCTGGGCTGGAGCGTTTTGTGCTGAGTGAGTACTGCATAGAGAAACACAACTTGTAAGGACCCCAGCATGCCCAAGGCTGGGAGTATCACTCCCAACGTGCACTAGTGCCAAGTTAATTCAACACCCAGCTTATCCTTTCCCAGGCACTTCAAAACCATACAAAMCCCCTCATCAACACTCAAATCCAAAGGCCTGATTTGGCCACTCACTTCGCTGTCTGAAAAGCCTGGCTCCACCCAGCTTTCCTGCCAGCACAGACAYATGAAGCACATTGCTTGCTGCACACTCAGGTTCCTTTTGCAGGCCACTAAATTGTTAGCAACAGCTTAACTCAGCCAAGCCCCAACACCAACTCACTGCACGAGCAGCCTGGCASAGCCATGTGCTCTGCTCCATCTCACACACACAAACACACAATCTCCASTGATGTTAATGCAAGTAACCAATTTACAGTGAAGAGAGATTTCTTCTCTGGGGTGGATGGCTGCAGCCTCCTGTCCTCTGTCTGGGGGTCCTGCACCTTCTCGATCCCTGCTCCCARGAGTTCGTTCTTCAGCAAGGCAGAGTAGGCAAGGCCATCTGTGAACCCAAACAGGCACTGAGCAGAGAGCTCTGAGCAGGAACAGGGAGTGTCAGGATCACGTGTGCCTGCCCTGGAGAAAAGAAGGCTCCAGGGAGACATCAGAGCCCTTTCTAGTCTCCAAAAAGGGGTCCAGGAGAGCTGSAGAGGGACTTGGGACAAGGGCCWGGAGGGACAAGAGAGGGGGGAATGGCTTCCCACTGCCAGAGAGCAGGATTAGGTGSGATATCAGGAAGGAATTGYTCCCCATTGTGAGGATGGTGAGGCCCTGGCACAGAYTGCACAGAKCTGTTGAGTCTGGCCCATCCCTGGCAGTGTCCAAGGCCAGGCTGGACGGGGCTTGGAGCACCCTGGGGTAGTGGAAGGTGTCCCTGCCTATGGCAGGGAGTGGAACGAGATGAGCTTTAAGATCCCTCCCAAACCAGTCTGGGATTCTACAACTTGTACACTCACAGAGTCTGTTAACAAGCCTGGGGCCCCCACATAGAATCTAGATTAGTAGCAAGTTTCTCCTCCTTCCACTCCATCAGGAAAGTGCTTTCACAACACAATAAATCAAGGGATACAAACAGCCTTGTCTGTCCAGACGCTCATCAGAAGCAGTGACCTGGTACTCACTCATGATGTGGGCATTTCCCAAAACACCACCATGAGTTTTGGCATAAGCATGAAAGCGCCAGTGTGGCTTTAATGTCCCCTGTACTGCAAAATAAAAGCTCTGGGCACTGCCCAAGCAGTAGAAGGGGACTCTCACCTTTGCCACTGTCTGATGTAGCATCCTTTGCTTTTCTGTTTTGGCTTGGTGATTTTTCATTTTCCTGAAATGGAGAAAYATGCCATCACCATACAGAAACCTAGGACATATGGTGAAACAGCAAATGCAGAAGGTTTCTGGAACACAGGGTTTGAGGACAGGCACTCAAAGAAACTCTTCTGGGGCAGTAGAAGCCCATGRTGCAGAAGATAAGCCAAACAATCATGCCAGGTACCACTTCCTCAGTTCCAAGGCTGAGCTCTATGAGAAGGGAGCTAAACTTACATTTATTCTGTGGAAGTTGATGCTCCAGTTGGCCCCAGCTCTTGAGGGAATGAATCTGTCACCATGCTTACTAGGAGAAGACATTGGAGAATTGGAAGGCGTCAAGGTTCTTCTCATCTCTGCTACCTGAATTAAAGAACAAAAGACACAGAACTTACTCTGACTCTTGTCAAGTCCTAGAGTTGGTTGGTTTGTTAGTCCCCAATTTTTTACGTTACATATGTAGTTGCTGAGATTATGTATWAAAAARGTGYTACTGAGCRCCATAAAAATATTTTCACTCCTTTYTGCAACCTGAACTAAGGTTATATATTCAAAAGCTCTCTTAAAGTCTGGTTATTTGAGTATTCATAGAACAGCTCAGGAGCTCACACCTGCTCACAGCCCAACAAAAGAYTGTGGTTTGCTTTGAAGAGGTCCCAGGTCTCACAAAAACTCAAGGAAAACAGTCACAAGTGAGACAGACAACAACGTAACAGTGAGCYTGAGCCCATCTGTACTCACACAAGGCATTGTGTTCTCATTCTGTATGTTGATTTGGCGTAGGAGACGTCTCTCGTAGTCCTGATCCATGGTGGGAAGCTGTCTGGAGAGATCAGCAGGCTCAGGAATTTATGTTTGTGAAGTCCAAGCAGTAACTAGTGTGCTGCAACAGACAGGAGAAAACCACCAAAATGTTATACCCCTCCATGCAGAAAMAGCCTCTTCATAGTCTCCTAAGCCCTTCTTTGAACCTGAGACCACTCTTCCTATCTAGAGCATTGGTAYCAAACCGGTGTGACACACAGAACACAGGCAGCCAGTATTTTGTGTCTGACAGGACTTCAGCAGGTCCCCACCACACCTGGAGCACGGGCAGTGCCCAGGCCCTGCAGCAGCACAGTTTGGCARTCCTTCAGGACACAGGCATGGCATCCCCAGGCACACGCAGCCTGTCCTGTCCAGGCACTGGCACGAGCTGCACAGAGAGGTGTGGCTGCCCCACCCCTGAAAGTGTTCAAGGCCASKTTGGATGGGACTTGGAGCACCCCGGTAGTGGAAGCAYCCAAAGGAAGGTGTGCCTGCCCATGGYAGRGGGTGGAATGAGATGGTCTTTAAGGCCCTTAACCATTTTGGGATTCTGTGAGCCCWCCACAGCCTGTCCCACTGCTCAGGCCAGGGACATGGAAGCAGGGCTGAAGGGGGGATGCTTTTAGCCATGTCAGAAGTACTGCAGACCATCAACACCACCCACTGCAGGAACACACAGCAAGGGATCAATTAGTCCCCAAGYGAACATTCCATGTCTGATGCCTGCATTATCCCAAATACCCCTCCTGGCTGGCAAAAAGCTTGCTCACTCATAGCTATACAGTCTACAAGCAATATCAGCATCACTTAAGTATGTATTTTAAGCATATATTTTAAGACAGAGCTGCTTCATAGCTGAGATTTGCCTGGTAAATTACAATGTGCATCAATAAAAAATAAATGAGCTGTGTGAGGATACACAGTCACAGCCCTTGCCAACCCCAAGGGCAGAGAGCAGCTCCCCCAGGGCCCAACCTCCCCCCTCATAACMCTCATGTGCCTTGTCCACAGCTGACGTGAGCACAAAAATGCAAACGCCAGAAGAGACACCAATTGGTCTTTCAACCCAAGATAAACACGTCCAAAGGCAAAGGTAGAATTAACACATAAGCAAAACCCCACAACATACAGCCATCTGMAGGCTGTGCAGAACGTAAAGGGATCTTCACTCCTCTTGCATAAACATTTATGGCACCTGGCCGGAGTCCCAGCTGCACAAAAGGAATCGCCTGGAGATACAAATTTGTGGTAAAATCCGGGAGGCAACTGCACACAAAGGCAGTGCTTGGAGGAGGCTGTCCAGGGAGCAGCTGCACAGTGCCCCGCACAGGGACAGCCCTGCACTGCCTCCCGCTTCCTCCTGGGAAGAGGCTGCCGCCAGGAACCACAGACCTGCCCAGGGTTTTACAGTTAAAAACTAGGAACAAGTGAGAAAGCTACAAGGGGTCCAGCAGCCCAGGCTGCAATTCAGTTAAGATKTGATGAAGTTTTACAGTGTTCTGTGAAATAAGCTTGAAAACAAGGCAAAGCACACACTCTGCACTGCAGAGCTGATGGCCTTTTACYTCAAAAGGTTACAGGAGATGGGATGACATCAAGGTGGTGACCAGGCACCACTGGGGTTCCATAGAACTCCATCTTAKGGCCAGTTCTCTCAAATGTCTTYGTAAGTGACKTAGGGGCAGGACTGGAAGSTCCTGAGTGGGTTTCCTGAAGTCACTCAATAGGGAGGAGATRCTGAYACCCTCAGGGMCACAGAGACCCAGAAAAATGCAAGGATTGAGAACTCCCCAACCRTGTGATGTTCAACAAGGACAAGTGCTGGATCCTGCCCTGAGACAGAGCAGCCCTGGATGCAGGGACAGASWRRGGAACAAGAGGCTGGAGAGCAGYGCYACAGGAAGGRATCTGGGAGTCCTGGTCRGTGSYAARTTGGATCWGAGTCCCCGGTGTGTCCTGGCAGCCCAAAGGGTCACYGTGTCCTGGGGGTACCRGGCCAGGGAGGGATTGTCCTGCTCTGCTCTGCACTGGGGCAGCCTCACCTTGGGTGCTGGGGGCTCTTTGGACACCACGAGATCAGGAGGATCTAAAGCTGTTGGAGAGTGGCCAAAGGAGGGACACGGAGCTGGGGAAGGGTCTGAGGAGCGGCTCAGGGCTCTTGGCTTGTTCAGCTGGAGCAGAGGAGACTGAGGGGAGACTCCTCGGGGGCTGCAGCTCCTCCCGAGGGGAGGCGGAGGGGCAGGGGCKGAGCTCTGCTCTGGGACAGGGCCAGGAGCCCAGGGAACGGCTGGAGCTGTGTCAGGGCTTGGGATGGATCTCAGGGAAAGGTTCTTCTGTCCCCAGAGGGTGCTGGCACTGCCCAGGCTCCCCAGGGAATGGTCCCGGCCCCGAGGCTGCCAGAGCTGCAGGAGCGTTTGGACAGCGCTGCCAGGGATGAACAGGGTGGGRYTGTTGGGGTGTCAATGCAGGGCCAGGCTGGACTCAATGATTCTTGTGGGTCCCCTCYAGCTCAGGAAATCCTGTGTTCTCTGAGCTAAGACATTTTTTAGTACTGAAACTTGGACTTCTTACAAATATTGAAATGCTTCTCTTCTTGCCATTAAGCATGCCAACACTTTTACAGGAGCATCCCCGAAATAGATAGTGCCAAGATGGTTCTGATCACACCTGCTTACCTCTACCACCTCCTCCCCCAAGCTTTTTTCTTTTTTAATTTAACACATTTCTCCCATATGTTCTTTCAGTGGCAAAACTGGAGAAAACTCCTGAATTTAACAGTGATGAGCTTCCACCAAATGAAGCAAAGAGCCAGAGATGACATTATTGGAGTGAAAAGTTAGAAAAGTCTGCGAAGCTATTAATACAGGAGATTTAAAAAAAATAGTGCATGCCATATCAAACACTCACCCTCGTTCTGAAGTTTACCTATCACCGCCCTTACCGACCCACAAGCTACCAAAYGTGTGTCTCAAACCAAACAGTTCAACAAAATGCCCCCTCCCCCTTTTCTTTTTTTGGATTGTTGTTGTTTTAACACCATGAGTAAGAGAGCTCAGCCTGCAGAACCCACACGAGGAGCGTGATCAACCGGGGAACACCACACATTTGAAGTGTCCTCCCAAAATGGCTCAGTACAGTATTCGTGAGAGATCCAGATCCAGTTACACAGCAAAGAGACATTTTAAGTTCTACATCTGAAACACATTCGACTTTTAAGTCAAGCTTTTGCGTTCCCATCTGCCCAAATTTCACCTACAACTTCTACTCAGAAACACAGCACAGATTGTCCAACAGAGAGACTGGAAAGGCAGAACACAGCATTGACTATTCAGCACCTCAGTAGTGACATGTTTTTGCCCTAAAATTTGTGCCACTAACTCAAGTCCAGGGAGCAAGCAGCACCTCTCATTTGAGGTAGGCTCTAAATTTGTCCATGGGAAGTGAGTGGATTTTCYATTTCCCCTGAARCAAGTAAAAAAGGCTTTRCCAGAAGGATATGSGGGTGCTGGTGACAGTGGCTGAACATAAACTGGTRTGTGCCCAGGTGGACAAGAAGGCCAGTGGWATGCAGCCTGTATCAGTGTRGCCAGCAGGAYCTGGACAKTCAACAACCCCCTGTGCTGGGCACTGCTGATGGCCCAACTTGAATTCTGGGGACAGTTCTGAACCTCTCCCAACAGGGCTCAAGTGTGTCAGGAGAAGGGAATGGAGCTGGAGAAGGGGCTGTTGCACAAGAAGCAGCTGARGGGAAGCTCAGTCTGGAGAAAAGAAAGCTCAGGGGGGAYCTTCTCACTCTCCCCAACTCCCTGAYAGGAGGGGGTCAGGCTCCACTCSCAGGGAACAAGGGACAGAAAAAGAGGAAACTGCCTCAAGCCATGCTAGGGGASGCTTAGGYTGRACATCAGGAGGAATTTGTTTGTGGAAAGCATGAYTGAACACTGGCACAGATYGCCCAGGGCAGTGCTGGAATCCCCATCCCTGCAGGGACTTAACAGG